GTAAATTTAACTTTCTCTCCTATGTTATTGACTTTCCATTTAATAAAATTTTATTTATTTATTTATTTATTATAAAAGTTATTTCTTCTCCTTCCTCTCCTTTTCCTCCGCCATTTTTTTTTTTTTTTGGACATTACAAAATGGTTACCTTATTCGTTTATATATATATATAAATAAAATTAATTAGTTTTTTTTTTTTTTGTTAATGTTTTTTAGGAGCGAATACAAATATTTTAAATAACAACAATTTTTTCTTTTCAAATGATTATATACAGCTTTTAATATAATATCTTTCTTTTGTTTAAAACATTATTTATGTTTAAATTTTTATTAAATGATTGTTAATAACGGTTAAAAAGTTTTTTTTTTTTTTACAATGGTTAAAAGAATTTTTTATCGACCGTTAACCTGGTTTTTTTTTTTTTTTGAGATATTATTATAAGGGATATAATTGTACCTTGTAATAATGCCGAATCATTCCTTTACGATTGATTGGAAATGAACCTTACCCTAGCAAAAAAAAAAAAAGCAAAAATCGGGGAACAAGTTTTTATGTGACATACTAAAAAATCATCCTAGTCATGGTTGTTTAACCGGGTTTCATTTTTTTTTCCCTCTTTCGTTTTTATCCATTTTTTTTTTTTTTTTTTTTTTTTTTGATAGCGATGTGAAAATTTTTTTTAGAAATTTACAAAATTTTTTTTTTTAATTAGATTTAATAATTGTTTATCAAAAAAAAAATATAAAAAAAATAAATAATGATTAACTTATTAAAATCATGAGGTCAAATATTTGTTAAAAATTCAAATAACTGTATAATTAATAAAACAATTGAAATTTTTTTTTTTTTTTTTTTTTTGAAAACGACGCAAAAAAATTTCATTTTACAATAAAATTATAGATAATTATATGAAAAAAAAAAAAAATTAATAATAAATAATTTTAACTGTTTTTTTTTTTTCGTCGTGTTTATTTCTAGAAATTTCCAGAAAAATTTAAATTTCATGCAAATTTTTTAAAATTTTGAAAAATTTTTTTTTTTTTTACACGCCATCTTTCTTTTTCTTTCTCTTTTATTAATTTATTATATATTCCACAAATTGAATTTATATATATATATATAAATAAAAATAAAATCCTAGTTGGGAATTTGTTGGAAAAAGTTATCATAACAATTTTTTTTTTTTTAATTAAACATTAAACTTTAAAACTAAATTGAAAAAAAAAAAAAAGAAAAGTTTAATAAAATGTTTAGGTCATGTAGTGTAAAAAGTATTTATAGATGAAACATAAATTAATAATTTATTGAAATTATTTAAATATGAATTTTAATCATAAATTATTTAGTTACCTACTTTTATTATTATTATTTTAATCATTATCGTTTACATTCATTTGATTGTAAAAAATTTTTTCCTTTCATTTCATTAAAAAAAATTATTTTTATTTTTAATTTAAAAAAAACTGATTTCTTTCATCTTTAATTTTATCACAATTTATTTTTTGACATATGTAAAAGGTTACAAACTACAAAAATTGTCATATTAAAGATGTTGAAGTGAAAATTTTAAATTTTTGAACAAAAAAAAAGGGGGGGTGGAGTACTTTTTAACGGAAATATTTTACTTAATATCATTAAGTGTTGAAATATTTTGTTTTTATGTATTTTCAAAAAAAAAAAAAAAAATGTTTTGCATTAGTGATCCATTAATGATATGTACATTAGTTGTAATAAATTAAGAAAGCATTATTTACCAAAAATGTAATAACTCACATACATAATTACATTGCTCCATAAAATAATAATAATAATAATAATGAGATCACGTTTTGTAAGTTTTTTCTTTTTTTAAATATATTTTGAGAATTTATAGTAATAAATTAGGATGAATTGTAAAATGTTCTATTACTTTCGTATTATAGATTATGTTTTTCAATCGTAAAGCATTTTAAACTTAATATTATTTTTAAAAAAAGTATTTAAATAAACTTACCAATTTATCCGAAACTTTGCTAGAATCAAACTGCTGATTCCATTTCCGTTTCCGTTGTAATTCTTCGCTGTACAATATTTTACATAAAGATGTATCCCCTGAAAGAAACGGTAAAATTATATGTAAAAATTTAATTTTTGATTATTGTTCAAAATCAAAGTTGTCAATAAACTTTTTTATTGATATATTACATAACTTTTAATAAATTGAAAATAAAATTTATAATAATTATTTCTTATAAACCTTATGTATAATTTTGAAAAAAAAAAAAATATATAGCTTGTTAAAAGTTAGTGTAAACTAGTTTTTAATTAAAACATCATTTATTTAATAGAAACAAATTAATTTACCAATGTAATCTATTATTTTCAATAAATGTTCTTTTCTCGTTAAATTTTTAAATTTCTGTGTAAAAAATTAAAGATTTGAAAAACAGTTAAATAAAATTTTTTAATTAGAACAAACTTCTTCCACTTCTAGCACAAAATTCAACTTAAAGCAAATGACTAATGGCAACAAGTCGAAAACATAGATTCTTGAAGTTTCCGCCGGTGTATTTTATTAAGAACAATCGAGTTGATTTAACAATTACACATATATTTATATATTAATATTCATTATTAATTAACTCAAAATGGTATTTCAAGTTTTTATTTTGTTTTACTTTAATTAATTAGATTTAAATTTGTAGTTTAGTTATAAAAAAATAATGTTAAATTGTCATAAGCACGCGGCCTTATTATTAGTCATTTCATACAATAATTGTGAAATAAAATAAATTTTGTCGTAGGTTTCTCTTAATCCAATTCGAGTCTTAAAACATCAAGCTGAGGAAGAAAAGTCAGAAGTTGCAAGAATATCTAGCTTTGTGGGGGCCATTGCGATAGGGGACTTGGTGAAAAGCACTTTGGGTCCTAAAGGCATGGACAAAATATTAGTGTCCAGTGGCAGGAACGCTGGTCAGGTTCAAATTACAAATGATGGGGCCACAATACTTAAGGCTGTCGGTGTTGACAATCCTGCTGCCAAAATATTGGTAGATATGTCTAGGGTTCAGGATGATGAAGTGGGTGATGGAACAACATCAGTAACAGTATTAGGTAAGTTTTAGGTATCTGTATTGCATAGTTTTGTTTTTCATAGCCTAACTAATGTCACAAATAAAGTTTTCATAATCAAATGACAGTTACCTTTCTATATGAAGTCACCTATCATCATCTTAATCGTTTTTTCTAGCATCTCAATTATTGAGAGAAGCAGAAAAACTTGTAGAGCAGAAAATTCATCCACAAATAATAATAGCCGGATGGCACAAAGCTGTTGATATAGCTCTGAAAACTTTGAACATGTCAGCTATGGACAACAGCAAAGATGAAGAAAAATTTAGAAAGGATTTAACAAATATCGCTTCTACCACGCTAAGCTCCAAAATATTATCGCAACACAAAAGCCACTTTAGTAAACTAGCTGTAGATGCTATTGTAAGATTGAAAGGATCTGGAAATTTGAGAGCTGTACAAGTAATTAAAATTCAAGGTGGTGTTTTGGAAGATTCATTTTTAGATGAAGGATTTCTGTTGGATAAAAAAGTAGGATTACAACAACCTAAGAGAATAGAAAATGCAAAGATATTAATTGCAAACACGCCTATGGACACTGACAAAATCAAAGTTTTTGGCTCTAAAATTCAAGTTGATAGAATGGCCAAGGTTACTGAATTAGAATCTGCTGAAAAAGAAAAAATGAAAGATAAAGTTGCAAAAATTTTAAAACACAATGCCAATGTTTTTATCAACAGGTACAACATTCTTTAAATTTATTTGCAGAGAATTGTTTATAACAAATTAAACTTGGAATATTAGAATTATGAGCAAATTAATTTTATATTTCAGGCAATTAATTTATAATTATCCTGAACAACTTTTTGCTGATGCTGGTGTCATGGCAATAGAACATGCTGATTTTGATGGTATTGAGCGTTTAGCCTTGGTTACTGGTGGAGAAATCGTTTCTACATTTGATCATCCAGAACTTGTAAAATTGGGACATTGTGATGTGATTGAGCATGTTATGATTGGTGAAAACACTCTTTTAAGATTTGGCGGAGTGGCTTTGGGTGAAGCTTGCACTATAGTTATTCGTGGTGCGACTGAACAAATTATCGATGAAGCTGAAAGAAGTATTCATGATGCCTTATGCGTTTTAGCAGCCACTGTTAAGGAACCTCGAATTATTTATGGAGGAGGTAAAAATATGATAACTAAAGAAAATTGTTCTCATACTTTCAGCAGATGAAAAATAAATATTGATATTAGGTTCAGAATTTTAATGTAATCAATTTTAATTTTCTGTAATTTCAGGGGCATCTGAAGTTCAAATGGCTAATGCTATTTTATTAGAAGCTGCTGAAACACCTGGAAAAGAATTGGTAGCCATGGAATCTTTTGCTCGCGCACTTTTATGTTTACCAACCGCGATAGCAGATAATGCAGGTTATGATGCAGCTCAATTAATCAGTGAATTAAGAGCTGCTCACTCTCAAGGTCGTCACACTTCCGGATTGGGTAAGTATATAATTCAAACCCCTTTTTAACATAGTGAAATTAAAACAAATTCTAATTTTTATTTTAAATGATGATGTCAGATATGGAAAAGGGAGAAGTCGGATGCATGAAACAATTAGGAATCACCGAATCTTTTGCCGTTAAACGACAAGTCCTTTTGTCGGCTGCAGAAGCTGCTGAAATGATTCTTCGCGTGGACAACATCATAAGAGCCGCTCCAAGAAAAAGAACCAAAGATCGCGGAATGTGCTAAAATCACTAAATTTTGTTTAAATTTTTTTTTTTCATTACTTAAAACGATTAACAAAGTATAAAATAACAAACTTTTCGTATTAATTTTTCTTTATCACGTTAATGTTAAAAATCTTTTTAATTAAGTTACACAAAATAAGTGCAGTTAAGCATTAATAATGTCCAATTATTAATTACTAATAATTAAATTAAAAAAATTTTTTTTTTTTTTTTTTGTAAGGTTAACTTAAGTTAATATAAATATTATTATTATTATTTAAATTAATACTGTAATAAAATAATTTTACAAGTAAATTTTAAGTTTATTTTTTTTCTTTAAAAAAAATCATAAAAGCGAAAGCCGATCAATAAAGACTACTGTTAAATTTATTATAATATTCTTCCGTCGGAATATTTGTGCATATTTTTTTCATATATTCTTCTCTCTCTTGTTTTTCGAAAGCCAATTTTTTGTTGATTTCAAACATTTCAGCATTTAACATTCTGAAAATTAAAATATTAATTAGTTTCTCGTAATAAGTAAAATGAACTTTTTTTTTGTTTGTAATTATATAAACCTTTGTTGTTTCATCAATTCTTTATCTTTATTAAGTATTTGACGATCCATTTTTTTAGCCAATGCGTCCCATTCTTTATTAATAATTGCTTCTTCAGATTGACGTCTCTGTTAAAAGTAAATTGAATTTTAATGTACGCTTGGTATGTAATTAATTATTTAAATTGTTAAATTGTAAGCTTTAAAATGAATTCTACCTTTTTTTCCTCTTTTTGCATTTCTAAAAATTTAGCAATTTCTTTTGCTTTTCCTGGTCCTCCTCCTTTATACAAATATCCAATCATTCTATGAGGACCCAAACTACTTGCTGCAACTTCAGGATTTTCCGTTAATAAATCCGAATTAATCCAATTAACTTTTTCTGCTTCTTTATCTAAATCATCTTTAAGACGACGATTCCTTTCTCTTATTTCTTTTTCGTTTGCCTTAAATAAATTAATCAAATTTCAATCACATGAGCAGAGAAATGGCGTCTCAAGTTAGATAAACATTATATTACTAAAATTTTGTTGTATTCCGCTGTTGACTGTTGAAGTTTTCTTATGCATTCCTCTTCCAGTTTAGCCAACTGTACGGATCTTTTATCTCTGGCCACAAGAGCTTCCATATAAACTTGTTCAGCTTTTTCTTTTTCTTGTTCATCTTGTCGTTTTTCAGCAATTTGTTGTTCGAGCCATGCTCTGGTTTGTTCACCTTGTATTCTCAATCTTTCTATTCTTCTAAGATCTTCTCCTTCAAACCTTACAATAATTTACAATAAAATAAATGCAATAAGAAAGAGAAAAAAAACAATTTAATTTATTTAATGACTCACTTTTGTACTGAAGAAATTGTACATCTTGGATCATCATCTGATATTCTAATGGGTAATGCCTTTTTTTTATAATGCGGATCATTTAAATCATATTCTCTTCTGCTTTCAAAAGATTGATAATTTTGTCTAAACTCTTGAACTTTTTTTAATATTTCTTTTTTTTCATCTTGTATTTTCTTATCTGTTATGACACATATCAAATCTTCTTTGAGTTTTTGCCTCTGATATTCAAGTTCTTTCCTCTGTTCTTCTTCTTTCAATCTTTTTTTTTCCTCCTGTTGCCTTTTCCACGTTTCAACATCCGCCTGTAGTAATTTTCAGTGGAGTTTCCTTCATTACTAAGAGGTTTCGTTTGACTTTTAACTCGATTTGATACATTTTAAAATCGTATTTAATTAATTATAACTCACCCCATTTTCTTTTAATCGAGGATTAAGTAATCTAGCTTTTATTTTTTCTAAATTTTCTTTTTTCCTTTGAAGTCGACAGGCTTCTTTTTCGTCAACTTTAAGAGAAGGTAACATAATTGTCTAATATATTTTCCTAAAAATAATTTCTTACATAAAAGTAAATAAATGAATTTTCTAGAACTTGTTTACATTGCCTTGACAACTTACGAAAATGAATAATAACCCATCTCTAAGTTTTATTTATTCAATTATACTTTTGTGAGACATGTTTAAGTGACATGATTATGTACCTCTTACGTGCCTGCAAACATCAAAAATCAAAGGAGGTTTTTATTTTCAAAATTTGAGAATAAAAAAAATATTACAAAGAATTAAATATTATTATTATTATTTAGCAAGGTGAAAGGACTTTTAAAATACAAACATCGTAATAAAATTAAAGATGGCCTCAAATGTATTATTTAATTCCTGTTTATCATTAATAATAAAAACATTTTGGTTTTTGTAAAAAAAAAAAAAAAAAAAAAAAAAAATTTTTTAAATTTAAATAATAATATTTCATCGAGTTCTAAAGGAAAATTCTTGTTCAGTGGCTCAGCCCTGGCGGCAAAACAGAAAACTTAATTAATCAGTCGCATTGATTCTGAGTTTGCAATTTATACACACAAAAGAGCTTTTACAAAATTTTTAAAAATTTCAAAAGTTATTTTATAAACGTTATTCATTTAATTATTTTAATAATAAAAGTGATATTAATTTAGTAATATAAACTCATTAAACATATTTAAAAATTATTAATAATAGTGTTGAATTTAATTATGATCGTTTTGCTAATTTTTTGTGACATTTTTTTTAAAAGTTTATTTCTTCTTCGGTTACTTATTTAAAAAAAATTTTTTTTTTACCGTATTTATACGGATTTAACGGATGTTTTTGCTGTTGTTGTTGTTGTATTAACACATTAATTTATCACCTGAATTTTTTTTTTTGTGCTCTGAAAAAAATAGTTTTTGTTAAAAATAATAAATTATCGAAACTTTAAAAATTTTTATTTCAAGGTCATTACTTTTTTTCTTCGAAAGATTTTCTGATTTTTGTCTCTTCGCGCGCTCAGTCGCAGCATGCCCACATGTGAGGCGCCATCTTGTATCACTGATCGGATCGCTTAATCGGAAAATTTTTTTTAAATTAACAAATGACAATCGTTTTTAATATGTTAAATAATTATATAAAAAAATGAGCGGTAAAAAATCATTAACTAATCGTAAATCATGTGCTCTTTCGGAAAATTCAAATCGTTCTGGTAAACATAAATATATCGGGGGTTTAAAAAAACGAGAAGACATTGTTAAACTGGTGAAAAATATTGAGGAAAGCCTCATTGGTAAAAATACAACTTTTAACGGTCCTTTCGGACGGAGAAAAGGTTTGTGTTAATAATAATTCATTTTTTCAAAATAATATGTAAAAAAGTGTGTGTGTGTGTGTGTGTGTGTGTTGAAAATAAGTTAGATTTGAGCACAAGATTGCAATTTGATAAAAGGTGTCATTTTAATGAAAAATAAGCTTTTATGTGACAAACTATAACTAGGCTAGAAAACGTTTCATTATTTTTTTTTTATGTTTTCATATTACTTTAAAAGTTAAATTAAATTCTGTATTCTGTTAAATATTGTGTTTTCGGTTAAGTTTATTATAAGTAAGTTGATGTGTATATGGAAAAATATGGTTAAATTTTAAATTTTCACACAAAATCAAAGGCATCTGTTTTGGCTAAAGATGGTATAATATTTTAAAAGTTGGCGATGCTTCTAAATCAAAGATCAAGGTCATTCAAACATTTGCTTGTTTGCATTAACTGTTTTTTTTTTTTTTTTACTTTTTGTCATACACTTTTAAATTTTAATTTGGAAATGTTAAATACACAAAAAAGCAAAAGAAAAAGCAAAAAAAAAAAAAAAAAAAATCAATAAAACTATAAAATTTTAATGAGAGGAAAAGTTTTCCACCGTAAATTTCCCCCTTTGGAAATCCAATAACAGTTTTCTAAACCAAAATTTTCAATTGGTCTTTTATTAATAATTTGGTTAGTTAGTTAGTTGGTTAATAATGTTGTAAGAAATAATTAATTAGTCTTAACAAATATTTTTGCCACATTCTTTTTTTTTTTTTTTTATAAGTAAACTGACACCATAGCTACTTGAAATTAAAAAAAAAATTATAAGCCTAAAGGTATCATTAATCGATGGCTTTCACTTTCTTATGTTTTTTTTTTTTTTTTTTTTTTTTTTAAACAGAAGGGAAGTTTAGTTTGAACAAAAAAAATAAAAAAATTGTTTTTTTTTGCTGTTGTTGTTAAAAATCGGAATGAATATACTGCGTCCCAAAAAAAAAAAAAAAAAAAAAAAAAATTCGAATTATTGAAATCTAAAATAGTGCTGCATATACATAACATTACGCACATTCGTGTAATGTCGCGAAGGGGATTTTTTTCTTTTTTTTTTTTTTTTTTTTAATATCCAAAATATTTTAATGTTAGGCGGAGGAGGTATGAGAAATTATTAACCATTTGCCCTTAATTTAATTTAAAAAAAAAAAAAAAAATATTAAATATTTGAAAATTTTAATTTGAAATTTACAAAACAAACGCAAGACCTCGTTAAAAATCATATACTTGATAAAATTTCTTCAAGTTATTGCTTTTTTCCAAGCATTTAACGACTCATACACACACACACACACACACACACACACACACACACACACACACACACACACACACACACACACACACACACACACGGTTTAAAAAATTGTTTACTAAAAAACATTTATGCGATTTGCAAACCCCAAAAGATTTTTTTTTTTTTTTTTTTTTTCTATTTATAACATTTTTATTTATAAATATTTTGTTGCCAATAGTTTTGTAAATTTAGTACCGAAAAAAAAAAAAAAAAAAAAAAAAGGAAAACATGATAAGTTTTCTTCCAAAGCTCTCTCTTCCCCTAAATGATGTTATAAAAAGGATTTGATTGTATTTTATTTTTTTGTCAAAAAAAAAAAAAAAAAAAAAAAGTTGTTGGAATTTAAACAAGTGGTATGTGAGATGATGGCATTTACCATTAAAATTATCAATATTAAATTTGAAATCAATTTGAAACCGGTATTTATTTAATACTCGATGCATTTTGTAAAAAAAAAAATTTGCACGTACTGATACTAATATGGTCGAAAACTTAATCTACCAAAAAATTTCCATAATTTAATATGAATATCGCCATTTTTTTTTTTTTTTTTTTTTTTGGGCAGGTTTTTTGTGTGGGAATTTAACTTTTAGGTTAAATATGTTTGGTGAACTCGAAGAAGGATATTTATTGAGAAAATATTGGGAATGCGAACCGTACAAGTCGATGACAATAAAAAAAAAAAAAAAAACAGGTTTTTTTTATGGTTATTTATACACTCGACTCGAGTGAAAATTTTTAAATTTTTTTTTAAGGCAGAGACATTTTTTTTTTTTATTTGTAATTTTCAAAAAATTCTATCGAGGTTCTGTTACGATTTAAAATTTAAAAGCAAAAAAAAAATTTTTAATTTAAAATAATAATAATAATTTTTACCGATTATTGATAATTCGAGAGAGTGAAAGATAACGAAAACCACCGTACGTAACAAAAACAAAAAAAAAAACATCCATGCGTATTATTATTATTATTATTATTATTTATTTAAAAAAAAAAAAAAACCTTATGTTAATATATATGCTTTTCAATGAAAAGCATTTTTCATTGAAAAAAAAAAACAAAATTTATTTACATTAAATTTAACACGCGCACACGCACACGCACACGCACACGCACACGCACTTGGTTTTAATTTGAAGGTTTCCCCTTTGAGATTGAGTATTTTAATGTTTAGATAAGTTATTTAATTATTATGTTTTAATAATAATTAAGTTTAGATTTAAATAACATGATGTTTAATTTCAATTATGTATGTGATCAACCCGTGGGGAGAGGGAGGGAGGGGGAGGGAGGATCATGTTCCAATAACTTCTTCGTAATAAAAAAAAAACATCTTTAACATACCCGAAGGTTAGAAATGAAACCATAGAGCTTATTTTATTATTATTATTATTATTATTATTGTAATTAATTTAGGGACTTTTGATTGGGGTTAAATTTTGGGTGTTTAGGGGGGGGGGGGAAAAGCGTCCTTGAATTATCACCAACTTAACTACATAATAATGTGTTGCGGCCAAATAACAAGTTTTCAAATTGAGTCGTTGAGTGTCAAATTAACAAAACTTTCTAAAAAAAAACATTTTTCATTTGGAAAATTTAAAATTTTAACCGACGATTGTTTCTATTAATTAGCTGGGTTTAAAGTTTACATTAATTTTTCCATTTTTTTAAATAAATGTTAATGAAAACATGCTGCTTGTCTTTGTCTTTGGTAAATATCACGATCGTTATAGGTTTTCAATATATATATATAAGAATGTGACTATGTTTTTCCCACAACAGGGTTTTTTTTTTTTGGTTCAACCGAAGGAAAATATGGCCGATGAAATTAGGAATACAAGGAGTTGAATATTCAATCAAATCAAATCAAATTGTACACCGCAAAAGGGAAAATTTCTTCGTCTTTGAGTTTGGGGGCATATCATTGATTTTTTGATAATAATTGTGGTAATTACCATATTAATTTTATTTATATATAATTAATTAAGTAAAAATTTTTTAATAATAACGACGATGGTAGTATCAAGTAATTTCATTGCCAATTATATAATTTATTCATCATCATCATCATCATCATAATTAATTTTATAGTATTCTATTTGTCGTTATATTAATAATTTTGACGTAAATCGATTAATTTAAATATTATGGCTTTTGAGTAAATGGCGTAGTATTTTGAAACTAGATAGAAAAGAATTTAAAAAATACGATAATGAAATACATTCTGCTGCTGCTGCTGTTGCTGATGCTGCTGCTGGTGCATCAGCATTGAAAATATTTAATTGTTTATAATTTATAATTTTTTTTTTTTTTTGTCGTTAGAATGTCGGTGATGTAAGTGCTTTTAAGTGGGGGGGGAGGGGGCGGGGGTGTGCCATAAGTGAGCCATTTAATTATTTGCCACATTTCGGGATAGATAATGTGTGTGTGTGTGCGTGTGTAGAGTAAAAATTCTTATTGTTATATCGAGTTGTCCCATTTGAAACCTTACGTTTAAAATAGTTGGACTATTAAAAAAAAAAAAAATGTCGTCAAATGTATTTGTCTCGATTCGAAACAACAACAACATTTTAATTTTCCTACTAGTATTCCATGGAAAACAAGTTTTTTTTTGTAATTGAACGTTCAAATTGACGATTAAATTATTTTCAGTTGTTTATTGTGACTATGCAACTTCCGGTCGCTCCTTAACATTTATAGAAGAATATATTGTGAGAGAAATTTTGCCACATGTTGGAAACGTTAGCAATCCGGTTAACGTCACATCTTTACAATCTTTATTATTCAGGTACGTCATCAAATGTTTTTAAAAAAAAAACCTTCAAAATATGATTATTAATAAATTTTGCTGTTATTGTCCAAAGGAACGAAGCGAAGGAAATAATTAAAGTTTGCGTTAATGCGAGTGATGATGATGTAATTACCCTATCAGGGATAGGAAATAACACGCCCGTAAAAAAACTCATACAAATAATTAATTTAAATAATTCAGAGCCGCCGATAGTATTTTTAGGACCATACAAACATCAAAATTCAATTTCACCCTGGGTTGATATAGGAGCCAAGGTAAATTTTTTTTTTTTTTTTTTTGTAATAGGTAGGTAGGTAATGGAAATTAAATTTGTTTCAGGTAATAAGAATACCCGAATGTAAAGGTTTATTAGATTTAAACGATCTTGAAAATCAGTTGATTGCCCATCAAAATTCCGGACGTCAATTAATAGGATGTTTTTCTGCTGCCGATAGCGTCACGGGATTTTTAGCCGATGATATAGCAACGACTCTACTCCTACATCAACATGGAGCTCTCGCATTTTGGGATTATAGCAGTGCAGGTTCATTTCTTTCTTAAATTTTAAATTATTACAAAATAAAAATTCAACAAATAGGTATCGGGTGTGAATATGGTATACTTTTAGCACCTTTCGTTCAATTGGATATGAATCCTAGCTTGCCCGGAGTCGAAGAAAGCACCGTACACAAAGATGTTATTTTTTTCAACGGCCACAAATTTATCGGAGGAGCACAAGCCCCCGGAATTTTAATTGTTAAAAAATTTATTGTTAAAAACTTCAATTCAAATAATGTCATTCCTTCATCGACTGTCGCGAATTCTAATAATAATAATAATAATAATAATAATAGTAATTTTAACGTGAGTTTTTTTATTTTTAAAATAAAATATGCATGTCAAATTAATTTGAGTAATTTAAAAATGTGAAAAAATGTGATTTACAGGGTACAAATTGGTTTGAGGAACACGCAGCAGCAACTCTTGTAGAAGATGTTAGAGCCGGATTGATTTTGCATTTAAAAGAAGCTGTCGGAGTACCTGCCATCATGTCTCGGACTGAAAGAATCACTAGGTATAATTTAAAGTTAGGTTACTCCTGTTGGACTAACATTTCAAACACGCCTCACTAATTTTGTTTTTTTTTTTTTTTTTATTTTTTTTTTATTTTAGAACAGTGCTGGCGCATGTGAAAAACATACCCGAGTTTATACTACTCGGAAATCATTCTTCCAGTTTAAAACGTCTTCCAGTTTTTTCATTCATGGTTCGTCACTCTCGGGGAATGTTCCTTCATCATAATTTCGTCTGTGCCGTTTTAAACGACGTTTTCGGAATTCAGGCTCGCGGATTTTCGTCGGATTCAAATTCTCACACGTTAAATTTTATGGGAATCGATGAAACGCTCGCGAACGAATATAAAAAAATTCTTTCGAGGTCCGTCCTCTTTTTTTTTTTGTCACACATACCCGTATTTAACCGTATATTTATTCCTAAATGTTTCTTATTATTTTTCAGCGTGCGAAAAAGTGGAGATGCCGAAAATCAAGATGAGTTGGAATTTTTAAGGCCCGGCTTTATAAGAATTAGTTTACCTTTTTGCATAAGCGATGCCGAATTAAATTTTATACTTGAAGCACTGAAAATGGTCGCGACGGAAAGTTGGAAATTGTTACCTCAGTACACTTCGAAACCTGCAACCGCAGAATGGAGACATCACTATAACTCTGTAAGATATAAAAAAAATATTTTAGTACAATAAATTTTTGTTATTGACAAAAAAAAAATTGTGATTGTGTTTACCCAGTTCCTCAAAGACAGAAAATGGCTGGGGTCTTTAAAATACACGGATGGTAAATTAATTATTCCCGAAAGGAAAATTTCTGCTCAAGGTACATGTCCAGCAGATTTTGAAGAATGTCTTCGCGTCGCACGGTGTATTTTTAACAGAGCTAGAATGGTAAAAATATTCGTTATCCTTGTATTTATTTATATTTATTATGCTATTTATTACACTTATAATAATAATAATAATAATTTTTTCAGATTGCTCAAAAGTATCCGTTTACGGCTCAAAAATTTACATTTGATTCATCGATCGAACCTTTAAGATGGTTTATGCTACCCAACGAAGCACACAATTTACTAATTGGAAACTCGCAAAATGTCAGACACAAAACTCCTTTCGATCCGAATCGGTATAAATTGTTAAAAAATTTCTCGACTGCGGATTTCAATAAGGTATTGAGCGAAGAAAATTTTGTTGTTGAATCAAAATCGGAAAAAGTGGGAAACTACGCGTCCGACGTTAATGATATTATTTATTCGCCTACGAATGAAAATGCGTCTTTAGTTACGAATTTGTTAGATTGTGGAAGTGGAAAAACAAACGGTTTGAATCACGGTTCGGAAGCGAAAATTTTAAATTTTTCACCGGCACCGGAAAGACAAAATAGTTTTTCTTCGGAAATGTCCAGTTCGGATTGTCCGGATTCAATACCTAGTCAGCAATCTTCCTGGTACACGTGTACAACGCCAACGCCAACAACAACAACCTTAAACATCCCCGTCACGAATTATTTTGATGGTTACGGGTATTCGCAACAACAATCACTCTCACCTCATTTACTCAATCAATTCGATAATTATTGTTCATCTCAAGTAATTCAAAACATTCAAAACGTGCCTCAAAAAAATTCGTATTCGAATTTTTCCAATTACGACGGATCTAGTGAAAATTCATTTAACATGGATCAGTTTTGTAATTACAGTAAATATTCTGCGAATTCTAACAACTGCCGAGGAGGACCCTTTACCGCGGGTAAATTAGATCTTCAATATCCGGCCAATAAAGTACATTTTTTATTAGGGAGAAATTGTGCCACCACTCGTCAAAGATGTAACAGTCTTGGCTCTTCTCTTATAATGAATCCTCGAAGTCGCGGTAATTCCGGGTACAGTTGTCGATCATTGACCGACGGAGACACGAGTTTAAATTTAAGCGAATGCAGTCTGAGTAGCAACGAAGACATTCAAGCATACGTTACGGAAGTCACAAAGGAATTGGCAACGGAAATAAAATCGGAAATACGTGGAGTCATATCCAAAGTCGAAGACGTTCTCTCCGAATCCGTTGAAGTTGATGGAAATTTGTACAATTCATCATCGGAACATCGAAATTCAAAATGTTACGATCTCAGAATGGATAAATTAGAAAGGACGAATTCTCTTCCTTCGGCATCGGCGAGTGATATAGCACAATATTTAATGGGAGTTTCGAAAGAAATGGCCGAAGAAATGAAAAGTCAAATCAGGGGTCTCGTGAGTTCGGTCGTGTCATCGGATTCATCGCCGCTACACGAGAGTCAGGGGAAGAAAAACGTGTTGACGAAATCGCAGGAATCGGAGAGGGAAAGTAGGGAAGAAAAAAGGGAAAAAAATGAAATTAGCCAGACGATTAGCCACGAAAGTATTTCTCAATCTTGTGATAGTGGAATTAATTTAAATTATTCTGATTTTATGATAAATAATAGGAAAAACTTTAATAATAAAGAATTAGAAAAAAATTTATGTGATATTTCTAAAAAAAAAAAAAAAATTGAAACGATGGAATCTTTTTTAAAAAATGATAATAATTTTCAAAATGGCAGCCATGAATCATTAGAATATTTACAGAATAGTAGAATCGAAAATGCCGCGGAAACTACGACATCCCGGTCATCGAAAATGAAAACCAATGATGGTTATAATATCGGAAGCAATTTTTCTTTCAGCAATTCTTTATTCGTAGACAATTCAAACGATGAAAAATTTAATAATAAAACAAAATGGCGTTGTCCGACAAAAGCCGTTTGGAAACCCACGGTCAAGGTATTGTTATCATTATCATTATTACTATTTCGTCGGTCGTAATAAACGAAAAGGATTAACAAATTGAATAATTTAAGGCGCTGAAAGAGTTTGAAATGGTACACGATGGAGATAGAATCCTTATTTGTATATCGGAAGGAAAAAATTCACTGGCCGTTCTTCACACTCTTCAACAATATAGATTTTACGTCATGTCGAAAGGAATGAAATTCGATTTGGGAGCCGTTATTTTCGATTTAAAGTGTTCAAATATCAACGTCAAATCATTATTATACTATTTGGAAAGTTTAGGGATTCCCTGTTATTTCGACGAAGGTAAATTATCCTCCTCCTCCTACCCCCTCCCCCCCCAAGGTTTAGTAATTTAAATAATTTTTTTTCTTTTTTTTTTTTTTTTTTTCAAATAGAAAAGGTAGAAAAGAATCGTGACGTCAGCAAGGCTTCATCTTTTAACACGTGTTGGAAAATAAAACGTAGAAGACTTTATTCTGTGGCAAAGAGGAAAAACTATAATGTGATTGCATTGAGTCAAAATTTTGATGACGTAGCCGAAAGTTTTCTAATATCGACTTTTCGTAACGGAAAACTCAAAGCCATGAAAGCTCATTATTTTCTAATGTAAATAATATATAATATAATAATAGGGAGATTTTTGAATGAACTTTAAAACCTTAAACTTTTTGTATTTTTTTTTTTTTTTTAGCGGTGAAAAAATCCGAATAATCAGACCGTTTGTCTACGTGAGAGAAAAAGCAATAAAAGAATATACGGATATAATTAACGGTCCATCTTTTCAAGAAAATTGTTCTTCCATGGTACGAATATAATTTTTTTTTCTATTTGTCAACGTCATATATACTTATTGCAATTGTAATTTTTTTGGTTTTTTTTTTTTTTTGTTTAAGGAACAAATAAGAAGTAAAGAATTTCTTTCTTATCACGAAAAAATATTTCCAAGACTTTTTAACAGTTTAACAACAGCCTTACATCCTTTAATAAATCGCGTATTTGAAAACGAAACGTGAAAAAGGGGAAAAAGAAGAAAAAAAAAAAAAAAAAAAATTGTGGTCCTAATTAAATTACAATGACATTAAATAATGTTTTTTTTTTTTTTGTTAAACTTGTTTAAAATTGTTTTTTTTTTTTAAATTAAATTTAATAATAATAATAAAGCCTTTATGAATCGTGTTAATGAATAAATTAAATTGTTAATTGAGAAAATGAATTTAAAAAAATTTTCTTTATTTGTTTTTTTGTAAATGCCTACTACTATTCTATTTCGCTTGCTTTATACTCTGTCAAAGTTTATTAATGTTTTTAAATTATTATTTTATACAAGCGATTAATCGATTAATCGATTCAAACGATTAATCGATTCAAACGATTAATCGATTAATTTACCGGATAACTTTTTTGTTTATTTTTGAAAAATATATATTTATAAATTTTACAACTCTTGTTAACTTTATATATATATTTTAAGACAAATTTATTTATTTAAATAAATGAAAAATAAATAATGGCGTTTAATTATTGATTTAAAAAAGAATTAAAATAAATTTGGCTTTGGCTACAAATAAATAAAAATCTGAAATGTTTTTTAATTATTAATAAAAAAAAATTGTTAACGAAATTTTAAAATAAAAAATTTGTTTTAAAAAAATTAGTTTTTTTTTTTTTTTTTTATTAAAACCATAAAAAATTGTCAAATAATTTTTTTTCAGGGGAAATGCGGGGGGGGGGGGGCGCAAATAATTTATTTTTAAATTTAAAATATAAAATTTTATGTGGGCATCTTATTTTAAAAATTCTAAAAAATAAATCATTGATTGATTGTTTTTTATATTACAAAGCATAAAATAGCAAAAATGTATTTTTTTATTTGAATAAAAGAATATTTTTAAAAATAACAAAGCATTGAAAAGTAAATGCAATAAATTTTTTTTTTCAACAAAAAAAATAATAATAAAATAAGCTACACCGGAATGACCATTTTAAAAATTATCTATCAAAACCAGATATTTCAATGAGTTTTTGATGTACTTCGCTAAGAGCCTGAAATTAAAAATTTTATTATTACAAAAATAATTCTCTTTTAAAATTTATGTGTCTTTGCAAAAAAAAAAAAAAAAAAAAGAAAATCACCTTGAAATATTTAACTGTTTTAACTTTAAGCTCTAAAGTTGCACTCTCATCACAGACAATTAAAGTAGAAGGATGCTGCTGGAAAGCAGATACTGTCCACATATGATTAATTCCTTCTTCAATGGCTTTGTGTAATGCATACGATTTGTGACTACCAGTAATTAAAATCATGACCTAATAATAATAATAATATGTTTAATTTTTTTATAATATTGTTTTATTAATTTTTCTATATTACCTCATCAGCATCCATTACAGTTCCGACTCCAACGGTTAATGCTTCTTTAGGTACTTTTGTTATATCGTTACCAAAAAATCTCGCATTGGCTTCTAATGTATCATAAGCTAAAGCTTTTACTCTGGTTCTAGAAACCAATGATGACCCTGGTTCATTAAAAGCAATATGACCATCAGGTCCTATACCACCAATAAATAACTTGATACCTCCTGCCTCGGCAATTTTCTTTTCGAAAAGATCACATTCTACTTTTAAATCAGGTGCATTTCCATCCAATATATGAACATTCTTTGGATCGATATCAATAAATTTGAAAAAATTATTCCACATATAATAATGATAGCTTTCAGGGTGATCTCTAGGCAAAGACACATACTCATCCATGTTAAAGGTAATTACATATTTAAATGAAACTTTTCCAGCTTTGTGATATTCAATTAATTTTTGGTACATGGGTAATGGTGTACTACCAGTAGGAAGACCAAGAACGAAATAACGATCAGGCCCTGGATTAAATTCTAATATTTTTTTTACAACATACCGTGCAGCCCAATCGGCGACCGCTGTTGCTGAATCCAATATTATTAATTTCATCTTGAATACTTTTTAAAAAATTTTAACCGATAAAATAAAATAAAATTAAAAAAAAACTAATAAAAATAATAAAAATTAAATATTAATAATTATTAAATTATTTAAATAATGTAATTTGTAAATTTAAAACATTCGGTAATATATCCGTTTTTTTAATTAAAAAAAAACAATTGAAACTTAATATATAACTTAGATTATCAAAAACTAACAAAAAGTTAGCATAGATAGCGATGTAATAAGTTTAATCACCATTGTAAGACTAACCCAGATTTATCACGAGAGTTTTGTTTTACCACAGACACTACTTATAATACCATAGACAACATAGTATTTATAGTTTTACCATCGCCATTATTTACATTACCATAGACATAATATTTATAGTTTTACCATAGACATTATATTACATTATTTCATTGGAAATTTCGACAACAAAAATATTTTAACGGTAAAAAGTTAAAACTTTCATTTTATTTTTTCTTTTATATAATTAAAAATAAATTCACCAACATTAAAAATTAATTTTTTAACATTTTCACTAAATAATTTCAGACAAGTAACGTAAAATTTTTTAATTTTAATTTATTAATTTAATAAATATTGAGTGAAACTCTGTGTAATTAATTTAAAGAATCAGTTTAAAGTAAAATAAAACTAATTTTTTTTTTTTAGAGATTTATTTTAAAAAAAAGATACGTTTGTAAATTTATGCATTTAATTAAATTTATAATTATTTTATAAAAATTAACAATAAAATAAATATATAAATATTACAAAACGATTGTAAAGCCATATTTTTTGAAAATTAAATGTGATAAAATAAGCAAATCAAACAATATGATTTTCAATTTTAATGGAATAGTGCATTTAATTTTAAATTAAAAACCTTTTAAAAAACAGTTTGAATTTATATAATAAATAATTACTCATTATTTATTAATATTTTTCTTAGTGATAAAAATTTTCAATTGCTTTCTGAATCAAGAACAATTTCTTCTGGATCCGGAGCTCTGGGTAAAAAATCTTCATTTGGATATAATTCAAAAAATATTTTTTTCGCCTAAAAAATATCACAATAATTAGTTTCTGTTATTCATAATAATAATATAATAATAATAATAAAGTTTCCCTTACTTCACTTATACTCGAATTATAATCAAATTCCGAATCAACACTAGAACACACTTTTACATTAGAAAATGGTAACAAATTTTCTTTCTTTCCTTGATTACAAGTATTCCAAGTCAAAGACCAAAGAATTTTTGGTTGAATAAAATCTGTATCATCCTCTTTCCTATTAAATAAAGAATGAATAACATGTTTTAAATCGCATGAAGCTTCTTTAGATGCTTTAGTAGTCAAGTGAACAACAAAAAAGTTCTCTGGACAAACATTAGCACTCGAATCCAATTCTAAAACAGTGACCGATTTGTCAGATGAATCAGGAACAGGAGGAAACTGCAGAAGTGTTAATGAATTATGAGTATTTTTTAAAATGGATCTGAAAGTAATAAAATTAATAAATATCATCAATAAAGATTTGAAGCAATTTTTTTTAAATCTATGAAAAACAATAAATGTATTAATATGTAAATTACATCTATACTCATCATTATCATATTTAAAGTTTATAAGTTACGAAACATAAAAAAAAATTTTATATCGGTTAATAATATCTTGAATAAAAGAAAAAAAAAAAAAAATGGCTGATAATGTAAATTTATTAACAAACCTATCTGTAATTAAAATTCCTCTACTTGTATTTAAAGAGTTATCAACGGTAGAATACTTTTTAAAAAAAAATGAAGAAGGTAAAATAAAAATTTCTGCTTCTAATCGAACACCATTGGAAATGACTCCTATCAACTTATCATTTTTTTCAATAAAACCTTCAATATTTCTATGCAAACAATAAATACCACCAAAAACGGCGCATAATCTGAAATAAAATAAAAACTTTAGTTTTTATTAAAAAAAAAAAAAAAAATTAAACTTTATATAAAAACAATAATTTTTACTGATAAATAAATAATTATTTAAATCATTTCTTTCGATAAGTTTTTACATTGGAAAAAACTTGCCTACAAAAACATTGAGGCAATTCTCCAGAACCATACAGTGGAAAAATAAAAGGAGTGTTTCCATATCTACCAAGGGATTCCAAAAATGCTTTACAAGCTTTAACTCCATTTAAACAAAGTGTTTTTTTATCTCCCATTGCTATGGCGTAAAGAATATAATGTATCAAATTTTCCGGAAGTTTTTTATGGTTTAAATAGTCGAAAAAACTTTTATTTTCAAAATCTGTAATTTTTAACATGTGTTTAATTATTTTTTCTAAATAATTTAATTTAATTTAATTATTCATTATTATAATAATACAAACCTTTAAATTCTTCAGAGCTTTCAGGGTAAGAAGCAAATAGTGTTAACATTTTAACCAACAACCTTTTTTGAACGACAGAAACATTTTTTGTAGCAAATACATCAGCTCTTGAACAAGGTACTAATTCTAATTTGTTATTTCTCCATGTCAAAACCTTCTTCAAGCACTTAAATTCAGCATACTTTGATATGTTAGATGAAATTAATAAATCAACCATAACTCCTTTAGAAAACAATAACTGTAAAAAGTAAAACTTTTATATAAAATTATTCAATTAAAATGAGGTGACTAATTCAATACATATTACTAACCTTAGGACATAAATCTAAATTAAACCGTTTATTTTGTTTTTTCATTTTTTCAAATAATTCACATGAGTTTAAGTTGGAATCGTTTGATAAGTTATTTGAGAGCTCTTCACAATTTTGAGTTTCATTAGAATTATTTTCCTCTGAATATTTAAGTATTTCTTCAGAAACGAATTCATTTTTTTTAATATTCAATACATTAGATACATATTCTAAACTTATAAAATTCTCATTATCATTTATTAGTTCCTTAGGGCAACTATCAAGTAAATTGTCTTTTAAATTATTTTTATGTGGAGACTCTGCCCAGTTTTCAATACTTTCCAAACTAAATGATGCCCAATTTTCTCCATAATAATCATTACAGTCTAAGTGCAAAACCCTTTTACCAATTCTGCTTAATGCTGCAGCGATTATTGACTCTGTCATGCCTAAAATTAAAAAAATACAAGTGCAATAATATTAAAATAGAAGGAAATAAGTTAAAATAATAAGTGATATTTAAATTAAATTTCATATACATGTCTTTAAAATATTATAAGTCAATCAAAACTTAAAGGTTAGAAATGACAGATAAGGTACAAGGTACCAATTTTTTATTAACCATACCTGTTCCAAACACGATGGCATCATACGTACGAGGTAAATCATCCATTTTATTTAAATAATTTAAAAGTGTAAGTCAATAAAGTTTAACAATTATAATTGTTTTTCCTAAAATTTATGCTCAATATATTTAGGTTATATTAATAGCACGATTAAACTATCCTAATTTTAAATTAATTTTACTATTTAAATAAATTTAAAACCTATTTTTTAACATGGATTTAATTAATTATTTGTTCCCTGTATGATAGACAAACCAACACCAATTCTGAGAACTGATTAATGCAATAAATAAAAAAAAGGAAATTGATACAGAATGAACTAAATATTTTTCTAAATTAAAGTTTCAAGTTTTATTTAAGTATTGACTATTAAAAATAACTTAAAGTTTTTTAAATATAAAATACACACAAGTTTTGATAATAGTTATTATTATTATTATTTGTAATTAAATTATTTTTAAAACAAATTTCTACATTTGCCAATACTTGATCTAGTTAAAAATTATTGGAAAGGAGGAAAATACTAGAGGTACCTAATATCTTTGGTAATTTTAAAAGTATTAAACAAACTCTGACGGTTTTAAGTGTACTTTTAAAAATATTTCAATAAAAAATAATTTAAATTAATTTTAAAAAAAATGGCATAGTTTATTTTTTTATTACATAAGTAGAATTTAAAGTTTTTCTTATTTAAAATGATTTTTATGAAAAATATTAGATAATTAATATTTTCCATAAATATAAAATGGTATTATTATTTGAAAGAATATAATTAAATTTTAATTTTAATGAATCATTAATGTCTACGTGGTGAAAGTACTACTAAATATTACATAAAAATAAACGAATAATTACTACGGTAATGATTGAAAATGAAAATACGAAAGTCATAGATAAAGAAACGACCACTTTAATTATATATCTATTTCCGCATCCTCCTTTTATTTTTGTAATGGAAATTCATCAAAATGGAGGACAATTCATTGGAAGAAGGAAAAAAGTGTTTACTGTGCGTTTTGATTAGTTCAAACGGTTAAATATTATATTTTTATCGTTAATTTTCATTTATTTTGCTAAGAATTTTTAAAATGTAAAAAATGTTATGATGATAGTTTTATTTAGGTATAATCACCTTTTGTGATGTGTGAATTTTTGTTGTATTGAAATATTCCATAAGTGTAGACCGCCCTGAATTAAAAATTCTTCTATCATTTGATAAAACCTAAACAAAGGTAAGACTTCGTTAATAAAAAAAAAAAAATGTTGGCAAGTTTTTATGTATAATACATTTTATATAAAAAAAAAAAAAAAAAAAATACTTAAAAAACAAAACGCTTTGCTTGTTGTAAATTATATAGAATAATATCGAACCCGATTTATACATTTTCTCAAAGTGTTTTAGTTTTTTATTTTATATAAATTTATAATATTATACATTATAAAATAAACAAAAATTTATTAATGTTTTTTTAAAATAATTTATTATATATTAATTTTAATTTATGGGTATGATAATAATTATTATTAAAAACATTTTGACTTGAAAAATTTTCAAAAAAAATATTAAATTAAAATTTTTTATTTTGGTCCATTGAATTTAATAATTTTTTAATATTTATTAAATGACATTTTTGAACATATTTCAGATGGCACTTTTGATTAAAATATTTTGTTAAGAAATTGATGAATTTTTTTTTTTTTTTTTTTTTTTTTTCATTAAATTTAAGGATTCTTCATTTACCATTAAATAATTGTACACATTGTATAATAATAATATAATGTGTAAAAATTTTTCTTTGTTCTAAAATTAAAAAATATGGATTGTTTTTGTTAAGGTCAATCAAATCAGAAGATACATTTTTTTTTTTTTTAAATTTATTTTTAAACACTTAGTAATATCATTCAGGGTTTTTTTGTCAGCATTCTGAAAATTTTTTTTGAATTATATTTTTAAAAGCTTATGAATATAGTTTGCATGTTTTGTTAGGTTATCATTTCTTCTTCAAAACATTTTTATAAATGTATTATATTTTGTGTACAGGCCCTGACATAGGTTTGACATTGTTTGAATAGGGAAAAAGGATTTGTATGCAAGTATTTAAACATTCATTTTAGTTAAGGCCCTGGAGTGTGAATTAGTGAAGGATAAGTGAAAAATCTTAACTCGAAATGTCTCGCTCAAAGGCAATAATAATAATAATAATAATTATAATGATAATAAGATTATAAAAATGGTAATTAAACCATTATCTCTCTTATCATATTAATCTTTATATGATCTTGCTTTTGCAGACTAGTAATAGATTCTTTTGTATATTTTTACTCATTTTGAATATTTTATATATATATAAAATTTAAGCAGTACTTCTTAATAATTTTTTTTGTAAATATTTATAAATCCCTTTTTCTCGGTATTATTACAAAAAACAAAAGTCGAGACAAATAATTTTATTTTCGAATTTAAAGTATGATTAAAAAATAAGGAAGGTAAGACTTATTAATTATTAAAATTATCTTAATGTTATTCTAATACTTTAGTATTCACAAGAAATATATGTATATTAAATAAAATTGTGTTTGCTTTGTGATTTACCCATACTTTTTTTTTTTTTGTTTTTTTTAGAATGGGACGTTACACGGGTAAAAAATGTCGACTTATATCCATGTTCGTGTTAACCGCTGGTTATTTTTTTGTCGAACTAATTGTCGGATATGTAACTAATTCAATGGCGCTTGTCGCTGATTCTTTTCATATGCTGAGTGATGTTATTGCACTCATTGTCGCATATTTATCAGTGAAGGTAATTATTGATGTGAATTATGTTTAAGTCAATCAACTTCAACACATGTAAAACTAAACTACAGCATTAAAATTAGTTTCACAATTAATTAATCTTATTTGATTTTTTTTTTTTTTTTTTTTTAGATGTCTCCTAAAAAATGGGCAAAAAATACATTTGGATGGGCAAGAGCCGAAGTTTTGGGAGCTTTAGTCAATGCTGTTTTTTTAGTCGCTCTTTGTTTTTCAATATTTGTTGAAGCTTGTAAAAGGTTCATCGAAGTGGAGAAAATTCATCAACCGGAATTAGTTT